AATCTCGTCCGAATACCCCTTCCATGTTATTTCCGTCATGGCAATCTCCTCCAACCTCCATTTTCCCTACTTTGAGGGGCCATATTTTTCTCGAAATCGGCGAATTCACTCGCTTTCTTTACTATTAACAAACTCTTCCCTATCTATACCTCCGCTTTTCGAATACAAAAGGGTACCTTTAAATAATCGTGAACTGTACCTTTAATATTTGCAGTTGCCGACCACTAATTTTTCTACCAAGTAATGTCATTATTATTGATTCCTCGTAAAGTAAACTCATGGCATTTAGAGTCGATCAAAGCTGATTCTTGTACAAGTTATGCTATAATGCTCCCACTTAATCGCTCGATTATCGAAATCTTAACTGAGAAATTATGCCATTTCAGAAAATTCTAAAATCTGCAAGAAACCGTGCCAATAAAAACCTTTTCGCAATAATTATTGCTTATAAAAACAAACCATTTCATATTCAAATATCACGGTCATTAGTTGCCTTGGCGCACTCTGCAATAATATAATGTACCGGGTATTTCCAACTATTGGCACCTCATGGTGGGGCCTTAGATGATTCAAAAAGGCGAGTATAAAGGTACCAGTTCGAGAAGCTTTGCGTACACCAGGGTAATCATTATGTCGTCTGAGATCGTCTCGTGCTCCATCGTATTGCTCCTTTTATCTTAATAGTTTCTTTTTAGCACTTAGAAGTTGCAAGGTATATCAAAGCTACAACAAATTTCACTCTTACTCTTTGTGTACATTGGAGGAAGATTGGGATTGTAAGGTGATAGTAGATGTTGGTAGAGTCTTTCATTCGCAGCCAAGAAGATTTTCTTTTTCGCTAAAAGCGTAAGCGATACTTCAAACGAAAAATTCATCTTCATATCATGGAACCAGGGAGCATTGACATTACTCCAGTGCATCAGTAGTAATAAATTACTGTCATAAAAAAATGCTATATGAAAGATTGTATTGTACTGGAAATAGTGAACGGCTAAGTAAGCAGCTAGTTTCTGGTGCAAGAGACGAAGTAGTTCGCATGTTACTTCCCTTCACCACAAAAGCCCCTATTGACTAGATCTATTGTGTTTGAGGTTTGTGGAGAAGTGGACTGGAATACGGCGACGGATGGATCGGTTGACGCTACTCTCATGAGGAATACAACCGGTAACACTGCTCGACGAATCGTTACCGGTTAGGTTCCTCAAGAAGGGGTGAAAAGGTTGGGAATATGAATCCTATTTTGACTGTGCTGTCTTCCAGCAGATCTAGTCAATAGGAGCTTCCCCAAACGGACGTCTTCGAATTTGAAGTTCCAACTTCTCAAAAGCATTCTTATGATCAAGACTCGTCTGAATATTCGTGGAGTTTTGACAGCAGCAACTAGCCATTATCAAGGACCCGAGAGACACCTTTGTCTTCTATTATCTTGGACTTGGAACTACATGGTCACCCGAAATGAAAAGTTGTGAAAAAAAAACCAAACAAATCAACAAAATCCCAAAAACTAAGTAATTAGTAAAGGATAGCAAGATTCTATTGTTGACCAACCCAGATATGTCTCATTAACATTTTCTCTGCATGTTTCCTGTGCTGAATGGTATAACAGTAGCATAAAGAAGACTAAAAAACGGCCAGAGACCATGTTCGCTGTTGAAAGACGGGAAAAGGAGGAAACCCTACCTCGAAAGGAAGGAAATCGAGTCAAGCGTCAGCTGAAATCTCGATCTCTCTATGTAAACACTGATCTTGATAGGTACACCTGCATAAGACTGCTATGTGACCAAAAATCATAGCAATCTCCTTCCAAATGATGTCATAAATCTGGTTCACTCTGTAGTTAGTAAGCAAAAATAAAATCACAAGAAAGACACAACAGAACAGTGACGATCTGTAGGCAGCTAACAATTCGTAGCTTGTCTCTCTCTAGTCTGCGATCTATGTATCTGATGCATACACAACTCTATCTTTACAGGACTGGCGGGGGTGTTGTGCAGTAGGAGCGAAATCGTCGCGTCAAGGCAAGAGACGCCGCGCGCGAAGGGATGTAGCAGAATGCAGCCGCAAGTAAGAAGCACAGGAACAAAAGAACTAACAGTAGAACCATGCCAAAAGTAATAATCGCGAGTAGTTGTCGGAGTCTGAACAACAAAGGGGCCCCAGGCTTAAGGGGTTTCCGTGAGCCTAGTACATGTGTCATGTACAAAAGGGATTCGTATTGACGCTCCATATGCATGTCCTATTGGAGAGAGAAGTACAATTTCACTTTGAAAACGGTTAGAATGCTTCAATTTTAAATCTATACGGCTCGACACAAATGATTCATGATCCATGGTAACAAACGATCCGTTCCATTCCTGAAATGATCTCGTAGGAACTTCACAACTGAGATTTTTTGCCCGTACATTGCTACAGAAGTTCTCTGCTGCAAGGACATTAGGTAGATATCAACATAAGGCTGTCATTTGTGACGTCGACCACATGTCCATACAATCACAGCCATGAGCTCGGTATGCAGTTGCGTACACGGCTGATTACCACTTACTGCTAATTAACATCGTTTAGTTTTCATTACCACTCAAATGTATCTAATGTTATACTTGATGTTCCCTGCTTCAACTATGCAATCAAAAGCACTTCAGAAAGTTATTAACGCTTTGTTAATCACATCAATGAGCATTGCGTTGACACTGAATGGTAGCTGATAATCATGTTTTACATTAATACAATTTTACAATAATTAGAGCTTTTTTTATAATTAAGTTAAAGGTTCTCAACAATACACACCAGGAATGGATTACTATTTTCATAGGGTTACAAGTTTATGAAATCATTGGGACATATTCTTCACATTGCAGTTTTCTCCTGGTCAGCAAACATTCTATCTAATACCCTTAATTTCCCGTGTCGAAAATTGTTATTATATGGCATAGAATGCGGGTTTCAGTGAAGGAAATGGAGAAAAATTATACAAAGCCATATTTACAAGAATGAATGACACCTAAATCACTGAATTCTCCACATAACCGAGTGCTTCCTTGATTCGTTGTAAGCAGATCTTTGCACCACGACGACATTCTGGGGACATCAAGGTGAAGTTCAGGAAACCATGTGGAACAGCTGGCAGCAGATCCATAGACGCCACTCGGCCGCCGGCTGCTTGAACCCGTTGAGCGAAAGCGATTGTGTCGTCCAGCAGTGGATCCAGATGACATGCCTAGAACGTTCACTCTGTTTATTGTTGTTGTTGTGAAAAGCAAGCCCAGATGTAAAAAATTAAAAGCACATCCGGTTACGAACTGAGCGCTGAGAGTCCTCACCAGTGGCGCTGAATAAAACGCTCTAAAGCCCAAGTTTCCTGTATTGGTATCAACTAGTCATGCGTTACTCTACAGTTCTTTTCTTTGTTACTAATACAAGTGAACGGATGCGCTTCGTTGCGCGCGTCCATCAAAACTAGGTCACGCCGCAACCGTCGCAAGCGGCGGGTCAGCCCGCGATACCTGACAGACTAGCAGTTGTCAGTGGGGCATACGATTTGCGCTTTCTCCACGGTAGTCAGCCAAAGAGAAGATGACAAATGGACAAATGGACAAATGCAAATCGTTCGCTCCAATGACACTTGGTGGTACTGTAATGTCATCTTGAGACCTCAGTGGGGTGCGCCGCGCACGAAGTGGGCGGGGTGACCTACTTTCGACGGGAGCGCACAACGGACGTTCTTCTAATGAACAGTTTATTTCAGGGATAGCGTGAAGTTGCCATTATAGTAAGGATAAAATCGGAACAGAAACATCATGAAACAAAGGAACGTATACTACTCATTCGATCCAACTCTGGCGTTACTACTCTTTGGCTCTGAGACAACACAATAACTCAAGCGCTGTCAGAAGCCCCAGTGGACAGAATCGAGCACAACTCGTAAGACTATCTTCATCTGTACATCCCCTGTACACCTAAAGGTGATCCCCTAACCGTCATACTACCTGTTGAACTTCTTTAACCCATTCCGTACCGCGTGCTGCACAGGGTGCAACACGCCCCTTTGCGCGCCCGCACTCTAGAGTATGAATGAAATTCGAACAGCCCATACTTCGCGATTCGCTCAAACAATCGCTCTGTGTGGCTGCGTGCTGCACGCCGTGAACCACGTCGCTGTGGCGATTATGAACAAACGCCGGACACATGCGGTAGCTAGTGCAAAAACACTGCGTTACGCAATTGGTTAAAAGAACAAGAAATCGTTAACAAGGGTGATGGAAGAGGGAAGAAATAGCGAGGTAAAATAGCCGTTTAAACGCAAAAATGTAAAATATCAAATGAAAATCTGTACTACACAATTGCCCTTCCTGCTAGGAACAGACTTTTCTCGAAAAATGTACAAATACGACCTTCGCTATAGAAGCTTAAACCTAATGAAACGCAAACGGTAATTCCTGCTGTCGATACACCCACACCAACTCACTGAGCGTACTATGTAGACTGCATGGAGAGGGTTGTACGTGAATGAGGAGGGTTTTCCCCAAAAGTTCTTTCTGAGCTAGGTTCTCGGAGAAGTAACCGAATGTGAGCGTGGGGCCGTGCTTTTGGTCTCCATTGATTAGTGGTTAGTGATCAGCCTTAAAATTTCAGAACGTGACGCGTACATGGCTTACCAGAGAAACTCACCACAAAGTAAACCGGTGGTAATTGTCGAATGACTTCATCGGTTGCATACATTGGCGATATCAATGGATCACGTGGAACGGAGCTCTTGTTCAACAGATCCAGTATAAATGACTTGCGTACACATGGCTCCTGAATATAGACATTAGCTCCAAGTTGAAAAAGAACGAGTTATCACTCAGAAATTCGGGAAACTACATATTTCTATGAGTTGAAGTGCGATTTGCAACATTTTATACTTGAATAGCTCAAGGGAGTGTTATACGCACAATAGAACTTATGTTTTTGCAAAAAGTTATTAAAATACCTCGGTTTCTAGCGGTTCCTTGTGAGAGACGGTTCGATCTAATTTCTGTTTCTCTTTGCTAGGTTTTTCAAACCAATCCTGCAAATTATCCAGGGCATGTCCTGCTGCTAGAACGGCTGTGTCAGCAAGGCTTTGGGAAAGAGATCGCTTGTGAACCTGGAACATAAAATAATATACTTGAACTTATTACATGATACTAGAGACGTGAAATACTATTATACAAAGTACAATCATTTAAAGGCACGGTTCACGATAAAAATGGTTACTGAGCTCTTCCATTAGGAACATTCAGTGGCCCCCATGGGCGAAGGACGGGTCCATCTCGCTCCCATAATCTCGACGGTCACGGCATAGTGGAAGCTCTGTTGCTGTCTTGATTCGCTTTCCCGCCTCTCGATCGATGTCACGTCAGACGAGTGTCGAGGCAATACAGATTGCAACTATTCGTTCTAGGACCCACACAAAATCAGCTGATCGCCGAGTGATGAAGCGATATTTCTCTCCCATTCTTTTTTCCTCTGTTATTCTTTTTGCTGCCGCGATCTGTTGTAAGGGCGGCCAACTTACGCACGCAAGCGGCGTGCCTTGTAAGAGATCTGACCGAGAGGAGTATGACCTATTGATTCACAAGCCCAAAAGAGAATATAAGGGGGCGACCTCTCAGAGAATTGTTCGTCTTCTGGTTCGACTCGAAGCCCACCCTTCCCCGGCCGCTGCCCTCCTCGACGGAACCTCGGACTCGGAGCCCGCGCTCGACGACTCTTTTTTTTGTGTTTTGTTTGTATCGTTGTTTTGTTTCGTGCCGTGTTTATTGTTATTCGCCGAATAAATTGTTCGGTTCACTGCTCTTGTTCGTGGGTCGGTCACAACCGTAACTATTGGAGTTTTGCCAAACATTACATGGGGGCCGAACCGCTCCAATAGAGTTCAGTGAGTGACCGCGCAACAAGGCAGACAGGTATAACGGTAGAAAAGAAAGCTACCAGTAGA